AGGGAACCCCACACTAATCGGGAGCCAACATTAATGCTTGCCAAATATCCTGAATTCATCTGGGTCAGGAGCAAGGCCTTTGAACGTTGTCTTGGAGCTTGCTCACAGGACCGAACGCTGCGCTCCCAAAAGCGAGCCTGATCTTCGAGGCAAATGCTCTTGGAATGAAATGGCGCCAACCGACTGTTCAGCGTTGTGTGCACTAAAACATTTCGGTAGGAAGTGGAGTTTAAGGGGCGAAGGATGGAAGCTTGTCAATACCCTATGTGATAGACATTAAAGACGTTACTGCTTAATCAGAACAGTTGGCTGGGATTTGGGAAAAGTGCCACCATTTCTCTGCTCAAGGCCTGGCAGGATCCGAGGTTGCCCAGCTGGGCAGCAGCAATCTGCAGGCACGGAAACCACAAGAATGCTCTGTAACGAGGGAGGACCGAATTTCATCCTGCAGCAAGTGTTATCCAGCATGTCCAGAGGAGCCCAGGCAACACTGAAATAGATGGGTGTTTGGTGCTTGCAGTGTCAGATTGGCTGGTCCATGATTCCCCTCGCACACCCCAAGCCTGTAGCTGTTTTGGCCCAAACACATGGAAATCAACAAAAAATGCTATCTTAATTTGCCCGGACCACTATGCAAACTGCCCGCAGTGCCTCAATCCTCGCGGCTTTTCACTATCAGTTGTTTATGTGTCCACAGTTGTAGACAACGCTGGATGCTCCGTGCTGGCTGCAGGAGCGATATGCGCAATTTATGTTCGCATGCGGATCGAAGCAGATCATGTCTCAAGTTCTGTCCACAGAAGAAGCAATTCTGGGTCCATAAATCTTCTCAAATACCCACATCTGGTTCACAGAGCAACAGTACAAAGTTTGACAAGACTCATGACGACAACAAAGCAGTATGACTTTCTTTGCTTGCAGTATGCTGCGCAGGACAGATGGGATCTGGTGCAGGTTCGCTTCACCGATCCGATACGAAAGAAAGACACCTGCCCCGCATGAGGTTGCATGAACTTATGGAGGTGTGTTACTGTAACGGTGCCTCAGCATGGGCCACAGGAATGAACATTACATTGCATCTGCCTTCAAAGATGCAGGGCTTGTTGGATTGTATTTTCTATTTTCCGGCAGGAAGATGAGGGCGTCAACAGACCAGCATGGCTGTATCACCTAAAGCAGAAATCAAAGCTCAGACCGGCTCCTGCACAGCTCAGAGCCTTTCGGTGACACAAGGTGTAGGGAAGGATGACGGCCCTTCCCCGTTTCCGCGCCCTTTCCGCCTCTTGACGAAAGATACGAACACCTCTGTTTGGCAGCGTTTGGGTTGCAATCACCTAATGCTTGTTGCTTTTGTCATTGCCACGGTGACGGAGAAAAGGTAGGCTTAGAGACAGTTCAGGAGTTCAATTTCACTTCTTGCATTGCAACTAGACTCGGGCCACTGGTGATCCCCGCATTTCCAGGATGTGTCTGTTGGATTGGGATTTGGTCCAGGGTTCAGTACATCATGTGCCCTCGTTACGCTTTGCCATCATCGGTAGAATGTCACCAAGGTGATTGGCTGGCATGGGTTAAGGGTGAGAAGCGGATCATGGAGTTCAAGCCAACTGTGGACTTTCTGCCGCTTGGCGGGGAAAGTACTTCGATCCCCGGGCCCAAAGCAGATGTTAGATTAAAAACAGTTAGAACAGTGTGTGGAGCTACTCAAGCACTAAGCAGGCTGATTCGTCATCATGAGGTGTTTGCCATGCACCCTGCCTTTGCTTCTACTGGGTCTGCGGGAATGGCAAACAAGTCGGAGCATGATTCCAAACATCGCATCGCTCACAAGCAAGGAAGATCCTGTCATCTCCGAATACCAGCCTCCAGTACTACCTGCAGACCATTATCGGGGAGGTGATGCGCCACTTGCCTTCCTATACTTGTGTGCTGAACTCACTAGAGAGTTAATGACAAGCGCAGGTTCGCGACGTATTCTGGAACTGCTCAATTTAAGTTAGCTTTTGAATGCCTGTTGCCTCAGGTGTTCTAAATGCCGACCGCTGCTCCATCTTCTTCGTGGACGACATGCGAAAGGCAGTTACATGTGATAGCACACAGCATGCCTCGCGGTTACCCGAACAGCTCTGAGCACCTAGCGTTTCTTGAGGCTATACAGACTCTAGCTCAGCCATATGGGCTGCACATGGATACGGGTGACGGTAGTGCAGCAGGCTTGGCATCTATGGGTGTAATGCTTGGACTTCTGGTCCACAGGAAGTCTGGTGCGTCGGCTCGCTAGACATGGCTTCTCGGATTGAACAGCTATGCAAAGACTTGTGTAAGGAATCCCCTCAATGACTCTACTACAAATGACTGGCCATTGGGCGCCGTTTTACGTCATCTTACTGGTGATCAGAACCGTGTTAGCTTTAAGGTCTCGTACCTTCTAGTGCAACAAGGTGTAATTCATTCTGGTTGGATTGATAGAAACTTTGTCCGACTCGATGTCCCGAAAAGCCACTGACAAGTGCAGGACACTTCCACTGCACTCGATTTGAAGTTTTGTGTGACTCAGGAGCCCTTCTGCCAGCCCTGGGACAAAGGTATCGTGGGAATGGTGGCCACCGAGGGAAAGATGGTGAACCTAGCAGGCAAGGCAAGACTTGGTGCGGTTGAGGGGTGCTCCCACACCTACACCCAGCCCTGGCATGCCTGGTCTGGAGTCTATTGAGTTGATGTGGAAACAGCACCTGGTAAGGGCTATCAGCAAACATGTGGCCGGTGAAGCTAGGTCAAGAATATTGACTATGCCTGGTAAACGCCCAGCATCATCAGCGGTTGATCCTATGTTTTCATTAATGAACATGCTGCGCAGGGCTGAAGCTTGCCGGTTTTGAGTTGGCTTCTACCAACCGCGTCCACATGTCAGATGCACATGACCACCCTGCCTTCGACGGCGAGATCGAAAAGAAGACGGGCTACACAGCAGAGTGCTCAGAGCATACCTCACAGAAGATTACGTGAATTATAATGTTTTCTATCATTATAATTCATGAATTTCTTTGAAAACGCCAAAAAGGCATGTCAGAGCTCATAGGAGTCATGTGTATCAGGATCCCAGAAGCTTGAGCTTGTCTTCAGCGTTCTGCTTCTTAAGGTGAAAGGTATCCTGTCCTTGCCCGTGAAGAGCTTCTCGGCCAAGCATCAGTCGCAAGGCGGCTTTCCGAGAAAAAAAACACCACAGACAGCACGAGAAGAAATCATGTTAAGACGGAGGTTGAGTACGCATGTGCTGCAAGATTGTGTAGGTGAGTTCAGAGGTGTCAGTTCTGCGAAAGCTCTGTAAACGGACAGCTGCGCGGAGATTACTGATAAGGATGCCGGAAATCCTGACCTGTCTAGGCCTACTAACCAGTCGTGACCGCTAGACATTTGGTTGACCATGCAACTGCAACTGCCGACAGACTTAGACTTGGCAGGCAGTTTCCTACATTCTGCTTTCCAAGGCGTGTTGAACCTGGACAAAGCCATCGGTGTCATCCAGGCCTGGAGACATAGTCTCGGCAACTTGCAAGGGAGGTTCCATGGAATTTGGAAATTGCGCCACATTTAGCGCGATGGAAGCCGGACTCAGATTCTTGGCGCCTTGATGCCATCAGCAGGAACGAATCCTGTGCTTCAGGTTCTCAACAAGCGGAGCGCAGCCAAGGGAGAGCTGCTTGGGCGCATGCTGAGGTCAGTGTCACGTTCCTATACGCCATGTGGTCGCTTCACAATTTGGGTGTGCCAGGCTTCAGATCTGCGCAGAACCCCTTTTGAGAGTCAGGTTCTCCGAGCAGGATGAGGTGGAGCTGCAAAAGCTTGCGAGACTTAGCTGTGCTTTCAAATGTCGTGCGCGGTGAGCACTTCCGTTTGCAGTCGGAATTGTCTGATGACTGCTCCTACCTCTAGCACTACCAGACTGCGCCAAGGATGGTCATCGGCGATTCTTTTTATCGCCAGCGATACAAAGCACTCGAGGAGGTCACTGCAGCTCAGCGGCAATCGACTTGCATCCTTTTTGGATGTCGCTTGCGGGTATGGCTTTGTCCAGTACCTTTCATGTCTAGATTCCCGGTGCTCTTGCCTCCTAGCTTAGATTAGAGCCTTGCTGCAAGTATCTCCAAGAAGCACAGGACTTGCATGAAAGTTATGAAGATTCAGCCAAAGCCAACGCCAAAGCACCAAGCCCAGGGCAATGCTGACTCAGAAGTGCAAGCCGTACTCGACCAACATCGAGAAAGGACGGAACAAGCTGCAATGAGCTGCACATGCAAAAGCAGCAGCAGTCGACGCCTTTAAGTTGAAAGTGAGACTGCATAACGCTGGAGAAGTCTTCTGATTCAAACGCTCCATCTTCGGCTAGCCTGCTACCCGCTAGGATGTACTTGGGTCGCCAGCAATCTCCGGCCATGATCCTTGTCTGAAGCAAATCCTGGCATCGGCAGGCCAGGCTATTTGAATGGGGTAGTTCACGTTGCAGTTGTGGATTGAAAGTCGTTTTTCCTGTGGTTTGAGCGCCTTCTCCATGCGATGCATCCAGGGGGCACGCGAAGAAATAATGGAGATGCCCCGGCATTATTTCCTCCGTAAATAAATAATAATAATAATAGAATGGCGCGCCATTTCATTATTATTATTTGCC